TTGCTTTTAATGATTGATTGATTGATTGACTGTGCATAGGAGAGCTGGTGTGCAGGGCAGAGATAAGGTGAGGGAATTCACCAAAGACAGTGGAGAGCAGAACTGGCAGATCTACTGAAATACACTGCTGAGGGAAGCAGCAGGCCAGACTGGAGGGGTCTGCTATGCCATGTGGGTCACCTCCTCACTGGGGATAGAACTCCAGCTGTAGTGGCTGCTGATAGCTTGATAGAGCTGAGACTTAACCCTTTGTACCACAGGGAGGTTCCTTGTCTGAGGTTTTGAAGGCCATGGTTAGGTGATCCCTCTCCTCCAACCCCAAGCTGATGCCCCAAGGACAGATTTGCACAGAGCATAAGATACAGTGGAGGTGGAAGCTAGGCTAGATACCAAGGCCAGACCTAGCAAACCTAGTCAAGTATTCCTGAAACCCCAATACCCACCTTTCTACAAGAAGTTCAGGGAAATGAGTCTGACCCAGAATAAGATTTTGTATATCATGGATTTTTTTTCCATGAACTTCGATTATTTTATTATTTTTAAAGATTTATTGATTTATGCATACAAGAGCTGGGGTGGGCCAGAGGTGTGTGTGTGTGTGTGTGTGTGTGTGTGTGTGTGTTCACCAGAGACAGAAGCTCTGTCTGCTGACAGGAGCAGCAGACAAGACAGATAAAGTCTGCTGTGCCACATGGGTCACTTCCCAGGCTGGGGATAAAGCAGAAGTAGCTGTGAATTGCTTCATAGTACTGAGACTGACTTGTGCCACCTGGGAGGCCCGGCTTTGATTATTTTAAATATGGCATTAAGGTATTACCGAGCTTGATTTGTGAGTTTTTGGAACACTCTTAAATTTTGCACCTTAAATTGTGCCTCACTGGCCTCTTCCTATCCCCTGCCACAAATCCTTGGAACTGTGTACAAAAACACAAGTAAGAAGGTGCAGTCACGAGACATGTGCTAGTGACAAATTGCCCCACCCAGCTGAGCAAACACTTCCAGTGATACAGATGATACAGGGCTAGAGACTGCTGGTGAGAGTTGAGGCAGCCTTGGGGCTGGGCAGGTGAGGAGGGAGTCTGGGGCAAGACAGAGCTGGGGGTCATGCTGCTGGGCCAGCCCATCTCATCTCATAGAACTCGTGAAGAATGGACCTGAGATCCCTGGAAGGGAGAGAACCACAGATTGGACAGAGGTGACAAAGGGCTGGCTGGGCCTGGCGACAGGAACTCCAGGCCTAGGCGAGTGAGCTAGGGCCGGAGGCGGTCCACCAGAAGGCCCTGGCGCTAACAGCAACACTCTTTTGTCCTGGGAGGCAGCTCTAGAGGGGTGTGGCTGCTGGCTGTGGGCCCGGACAGGGTTAGTGCCAGATGGGCTTTTCTCCAGCAATCACAGTGTGGCTGTTGCCATTCTGTGAGCAGACCAGGCCCCAGAAGGGGGTGGGAGAGGAACCAATCTTCCTCTGTCTGGTCTGAGACCCTTCCCACTTCCCTTCTCTTCCCACTTCCAACCCTACCTACACACAACTGCAGCCTCTGACCACCAGCCTGGCCATGCCTGGCTGCTCTGCCTGACCACTAAGACCTGCCACCCCCACATGTACAGAGACAGAAAATGAAGGTGGGGAGAAAGATGGAGCCAAGAAAGAGGGGACGGAAGGGCTGGGAGAGGAAGAGAGAGACTGGACAAACACAGAATGGGCATGGGGGAGAGGGAGACCCAGTCATGAAGCAGCTTTGGAGGTGTGGACAGTGCCTAGAAAAATACCCATTTTCCTGCTTTCTGGGGGTGGACCGTCTGTGAAGATCTGCCCCGGCTTAGAGCCAGAAGAAGAGAACACCCCTTCTGGAGTAGCCTGGGGAGAGTCCATTGATCCTAAATAAAAAAGCTTCCCTCCCCTCAGGCTCCAGTCTAGGGGAGAGGGTGTGGCTTGGCCTTATCCCTACGTTGTTGGCACTGCTAATTGTTAAATTAGTGTCTGTGGCTTCTCCAGGGCGCAGGCCTCTTGGGTAATGGGGGTGGGGGAGCGGAAGACTGCAGAAAACCCCTGGATTTTCTCTCCTCAGCACCTCCTAACCTTCGGATTGTCCCCCAGCACCTAGGGCTTCGGCAGGGCAATGATCCCTCCCCACACGCAATTTAATGCTAACAAAAAAGGAAGGGATCGTTTCCCTTCCCTGGCTAGAAGAACTGACCACTACTCAGCAGCCCACCCCCTTCCTCTTCGTCCGTCAGTGGAGGATGTGGGGCTCAGCGAGGCTTCCTCAGAATATCTGGACAATAGGATGCAGTCAGGATGTGAGGCAGTTTCAGCCTTTTTCTCCTGCCATATCCAGCTGTGCCTCAGTTTTGCCAAAGTTCTGGGTTCAGAAAGGGTGACTCATGAGGGGGCTACCAGGCTGTGCTTTTAGTCTGCACCCCCGCACCCCCACCCCCACAGCTGCATATCCCTCTAAGAATTGTGGGTGGTAGAGTGTCTGGGGGTGTGCGGATATGTGTAAATTACAGATGGGAAAACCCACCATGCCGGACATATCGGAGGGGGGGCCCCCACGGAGTGGACGAAAAGCAGTGTTCAGGAAAAAAGAGAACTGAAAGGAAGAAAGGGGCGCCGAAAGGGGGGCGGGGCGCGGAAAAGGAAAAGCGTACCCAGTGAAAGAAAACGGCGTGGGAGGGGGTTTGAGGAGCGACAACAGAACATCCAGAATGGAGAGTGGGACCGTCTGGGCAGAAGGTCTGTTGCTGGGAGAGACCCTAGACGGGTTCTGTAGGAACTTGTGCAATAGCTCCCAGCTTAGAGACTAGGGGTACCGAGTGGGGGCCCTGGGCCCTCCAAGCCCACGTGTCCCTTATTGGGGTAGGGTTTGGTGCGGCAGGGCCCAAAGATGTCGTAGCTACAGAAATCACCAAGCGGGGAGCCGGCCGGGGGCTCCAGTGG